AATCCAAAATTTACTTTTTCGTCCAAATTCAAGCGAGTTATTTTCCAACAAAATTGCTCATACTTGCGCGAAAATAGCCATAGCTATTTTTTATTTGACAATTAGCTTTACAAAATCCAATGTATTTATATATCTTACCATTTAACTTTTGCTTTTTTTTATATTTATATCATCCAAAATTTTCATATCATATAAAAATTTTTATTTTTTCTTACTTAAGAAATAAAATATAAATTTTCATGCATAGGAAATGTGAAAATTGAAGTGTGGAGGTTGGATATGTAAATACATTGGAGTTGAGTGGCATGCATGTAAATCCTGGAAAAGAAAATGGTATTTTTACAAGAAAGAACGATCAGTTTAGATTACACAATTTTTAGGCTTCAATTTATTATTGTTTTTTTAGACAGAATTTATTAAAATTATTTTAAGATACTCTAATTTTCTTTCATTTTTTTAATGTAATTTATGAAAATAAAGAAAAAATAAAAATAATCCATTTTTTTATTAACTTTGATATGTCATCAATAAATTTTCATCATCTGACATGAATCTCGAGGCATGACGCAGATTTTGGGATGGTATTTTGAGCAATAAATGTTCAAAATTCGATTAAAAATCATCTACAGTTCCATTTTCAGCAAACTTAGAGTTAAATTATCTGGCTCAACGAGACAGACCTAATGGTGCCAAAGTTGATCTAAACCAAGTCAAATCAAGCACAAATCAAGTCATTAAACCATTTTTGGAAGCTTTCTGAACATATTTAGAAGGTCAAATGGATGTTGAATCTGACGAGCTTGTAGTTGAATCGAGCGTCTCGACAAAATGAATCCAAAAAGTCCAAGATCGTTCAATTCTAACATCATTAAGACACTCAAATGTCTAGTAAACATGAAATCTCTCTGGATTATCTGATCAAAGTTGTTAACATTCCTTCATTAATTATAACAGGGACTCTATAAATAGAACCCCACCCCTATCATGAGGGAAGGAGAAAAGTTTGAAGCCTGACGAGGAGCTTGAAGCTTGAAGAAGCTGAAGTCCAACATCACTTTGAAAAAATGAATATAACTAAGAATTTGATTAAAAAATTTAGTGTCAATCAGGTCTAATTTCTTCCTTATCACCTTTTGGTGGTCTAAAAAACATTACCAGCCTTAAGTTTAGTTCCGTAAATCTCTTGGATTGCTCACAAGAAAATGTCTCCTAGAAGACTGCATGAATCCAATGACAATATCCCTGATCTAATGAATTCATATTGCTAACCTTTTTGTTTCATAAAGAATCCTTTCAAATATCAATATTCACAAAAAAAAAAAATTAAATAAATAACAATCAACTGACCAAGATTGAAAGTAAATTCAATTATCAAGTTAATAAAACGCTTTTAAACTCAAGTTAAAGCCCAAACAATCTCAAATCTCTTGTCATATCCAATCTTTATCTCAATTAAATAGAGAAACAATGTGACTACTCATTATTCATGACAAATCTCAACAAAATAAATTCAGTTTTATGCATAAACATCAAAACCAAAGTCTTTACACACAAAAATTTGCAGAAAGAACAAGATAAATTTTCTCCTCCATACGTAAGCAGTTTGATGATTTCTCTAATAGCTAACAATCCACACTCCCAATCCTCCCAATTTCTCTTCTAGTCTCTTTACTAATGCTTTAGCCTTCTTCTCCAATTCTCCTCTAAAAAATGACAAAAGAAAAAAAGGGTGAAAAGCCCCTTACAAATTCGTCTTCAAAACTTTTATATTTCCTCCCTTTCATCTCAAAGTCCGAACTGCTCCAACTGCCAATTTCAATTTCGAGCGAGTAGGGGCCAAGCTCTCAGTTTGGAAACATGGTCTGGTGCCTAAGCACCAATATTGTGGTGCCTAGGAGTGACTTAAAAAATTTTCATCAAAAGACAAGTGTCATGGCACCGTGATAGTAACTTTCTATCTTCTCGAGATTTTTGCTCAATTTAAGAGGGTTATGGCGCCCAAGCACTAGTTGTGAGGTGCATGTACGCTCAATAGCCCAAATTTTTCTCCACTCTCCAATTTGATTCAATTCAGTCCCTATTCATCCCCTTTCCTACTACAACCTACAAAAACAACAAAATACATACCAAAAAGTGCAGTTTTATCATATAAAACACAAAAATAGAAATAATAATAATTGTGAAAATATCATCATATCAACCGACTTTATAGTTTGAATGATTGTGTAACCCTTTCGCGCCTGTAGGAGAAGGAACCGTACTTGTAATCTCCACTTTATAGTAAATCTCTTCAGTAGGGCTAGACCCCGTAGTTTTTTTCTTTACGAGTTTTTTCTATGTAAAAACTTCAGGTGTCTCTACTTTTTATTTCTTTCATATGAGACTGTGTTGCATTCTCTTGCAACACAAATACCATAATCTCTTACTCTAACGCCACAAATTTTCTAGCACCCATCAAACCTAGATTACTTATTATTATTATTACTAAAGTGGTATCCCACCTTTTTTTAAATTTTTTTATTTATTTCTTTATCTTTTTTTTTTATTATTTTTGTATTCCACCTTAAAATAGTTGAATGTTGATATGCAAATAAATAGAAAATTCTTTTTTTTTCTGCATTAATTTTTGTTCGAAAAAGTAATTAAAATAATATATTATAAATGGCAAATCAAGTCTAAAATTAACAAATCAACAAAGATTAATTCAAAATGTAAGTTCAAAATAAAAATAAAAAATAAATAAAAATAAAAACTTGACTCAGCCAATAGAAAACAATTTCTAAAATATTAAGTCAAAGAAAGAAAATAATAATATTTTATTAAAAGAAAAATGAGAGGAAACTCTCAATTAAATTTAACAAAAAAAAAAAACAATTGGATGATATCTACATGTAAAAAAAGACGAAAAGATGATTCAACTCGAGCAAAAAAGAGTTTGGAAAAGGCGCAAATGGAAGCAATCATCTCATGGGCGAGCTTCTGACAGACGCAATTTGTCATCCACTAAATATTTTGTGGTTCGACTGATTCCTGATCGGTCGCTTTTCAGCTCCTTGGTTCCTTCAATTTTTCGCCCGAATAGCCCTTTCCTACAACTCTTGCCGGCTCGAGTTGACCGAAGCTCTATTCACATCTTCAATAAACTACAAAGATAAAGTCACATGTCTAATTAACATGACAATTGTCATAGATTAAATATCATCCTTCTAATTATAATGTTAAAGTCCCCACACTTTCCTAATTTTATGTATTTATATATCAAGCATCTAAATTTTACTTTTTTATATTTATAGCATATAAATATTTCATATCATATCATGTATATATGTCAAGATTGAACCATATGTTTAATATATGTAAAAACATAGGAAATGTGATGTATATATGGAAACTTTTCTATTTACATTTTATTATTTTTTTAATGATATTTTCTATAAAAGGTAGGATATTAAAATAATTAAATGTAGAATTAATCAATTCGTTTAATGCACACAAGTTGTTCGAGGAAATGCCAAAATTGCCGCCCTACCTTATTTTTGTGGCATTTACATTCATGCCCACCAATTCCTCTGTATTTACACAAAACTAACACCTAAATTTGGTAAAACCTATACTTCAAGTTTTACATAAATACCACCTTATCTATTCATGAAATTATGTATTTTACTTTTTAAAAGCAAATTTAGGTGTTAGATATGTAAATAAATAAGAACTATGTGGTATGTATGTAAATGTCTCTTTTATTTCGTTGTTCACGAATAGCTCGCATTCGGCTCATTCGTTAAGTAAACGAGTCGAACACAAACAAGTTTTTAAAGCTTGAATTATAAACGAGCCTAACACGAACAGCTCTTTTTTCGCTCGTGTTCGGCTCGTTTTACCATTTAAACTTCAATATTTACATTCATAGACTATGAATGTAAATATTGAAGTTTAAATGGTAGATATGTAAATACAAAAAAAATTAAGTGGTATTTATTGAAATATTTTTCCATTTTTCCACTATTGACAATGAACTGGATGAGCAACTCGTCTATTCAATTGGCAAAAATCTAATCTGCTCAACATTATTTTATTCTACATTTAGTCTAAAGTCCACTTTTAATATTTATAGGGAAATTTAGATATGCATCACAATATTCTGATGTATTTACATATCTCACACTTAAACTTTCATATTTACATATATAACATTTCCGTGATATTGTGCGTCAAAAATATGGCGAAGGACGACTTCTCGTGAATGGCAAAGGATGTGATGTGGTCCCACGGGACCTATCAAAGATGACCGAGGAGCATAGCCTCAGCTAGACAGTTTCACGTACTCGGAAGACGGTATGCGTCAGATAGATATGGAATGAATCACTCCCGAAGAATCTGTCTGACTAGACCCACTCAAATGAGTTTTGTCACTTTCTAACTCAGATAGATCGGAAAAAAGAAACATATCATCTAATGGTGGATGTAAACCCTCAGCGAGGCGTCGCTTGGCCTCACAACCGTCCAACCTAATGACCGCTATACCTCACAGTCACCGGCCTAATAACCGACCGGTCTCACAGCCGCCTGACCTGTTGGTCGCACAGACCAACGTCCACCAATATGAAGCCGGCCTCCCAACTAGATGGCCGCTCGACTAGAAGGTTGCTCGGCCTAATTGTGGCCCAGCCATAACAATGGGCCCCACCAAAATTTTTCAGTATGTACTGAAATACTTATGTTATACCTACTTATTTTAGGGGTACAATATGTAATTGCGCGATGACTCATTACTATAAATAGAGTCTATTTTATGACTAAAACCTTCGCAAACTTACTAATCATTACTTAGCACTATACTCCTTAGCAACAAATATCAAATATTTGAGTGTTATATGTGCAATTATAAAACTTTTGGTGTGACTTTGGTAAATACATGAAAATTATGTGCTCTGTGTGTAAATTTCCCTTTGTCAACACTATTTAAAGCCTGCTTCTTTTTCTTTGAATTGAAAACGGCAATGGCTCCGTCTTCTTCCCTAGCCTCACTCCTAGTTCTCCTCTCAATTCTTATATCGCCATTGGAGACAACAGCAAGCTTGCCATTGCAGCAGAAGCTCGACAAGATCGATCGGCTCCCCGGCCAGCCCGCCGTGGACTTCAATCAGTACTCCGGCTACGTTACAGTGGATGAGAAGGCAGGCCGAGCTCTCTTCTACTGGCTTGTAGAAGCTCCGGCGGCTTCGCAGCCCGCTCCTCTTGTCCTCTGGTTGAACGGCGGCCCCGGATGCTCCTCCATCGCCTATGGAGCTTCTGAAGAAATCGGCCCTTTCCGCATCCATCCCAACGGCAAAACCCTCTACCTCAATCGTTACAGTTGGAACAATGGTGAGTTTGAGCAACGATTGGAACCTATTTCGCTTCCATTTTGATGAATTGGGCTGAGTTTCAAACTCTGTTTTTCTTAATTTCAGATGCTAATATTCTGTTCTTGGAATCTCCTGCGGGGGTCGGGTTCTCCTATTCGAATACATCCTCTGATCTCTACACAGCTGGAGACCGAAGAACAGGTTCTGTAGATTTCAGAAACAAAATGCATAATTTGTCTATGAATAATCCATCTCTAAAAACCTAATTTTTGATATATGCAGCCGTTGATTCCTACAATTTTCTCGTAAATTGGTTCGAGAGATTCCCGCAGTACAAGCACAGAGACTTTTATATAACTGGAGAAAGCTATGCAGGTCTCTCTTTTTAAAATAAAATAATAATAGTAATAATCTCCCTTATCTGTAGCCTTACCTTCTTGTTACTGATGCTGCAATCATTCACAGGACACTATGTTCCTCAACTCTCTCAAATTGTCTACAGAAAGAACAAAGGAATTCAAAACCCTAGTATTAACTTCAAGGGATTTATGGTACTTCCATTCTTAATTACTACTCATTGTTGCACCAATTGTGCTGATGTGATCATTTGTTTTAGGTGGGTAATGCTGTTACTGATGACTACAATGATTTTATTGGAACATTTGAGTATTGGTGGAATCATGGGCTGATATCTGATGAATCTTATCATCTCCTCAAGACTTCTTGTGCACACGAGTCGTCATTGTTCTCTTCAAAGGAATGTTTTTACCTTCAAGCTGAGGTTTTTGATGTCATGGGAAATATTGATCCTTATAGCATATATGCCCCAACATGCAATGACTCTGACTCTACACCAAGACATAAGCACGTCATAAGAAGTCGCTTTGTAAGTGATTATTTTCCGCACTCGTCGAATCAAAATCTTCTCAAATTTCAATTATAGTACAACAATAACAACAAGCCTTTATGATACAAAGCGGGGTGGGCTACATAAACCTTTCTTCTCCATTGTGTCCTATTGAGTGTCATGCTTTCATTTAATTCAAATCCAATTCTAGTATTTGAAGAAAATTTGATGGGATTCAATTTCTTCTTTTTTGGAGTTAAGATGAACGATAATTTTAGGATGCCGACAATTCCAACATTTAGAGGGGAGAATATTAGAGAAGAGAAATCCAAATACAAGGAGAAACTTAACACATTCTTTTCATTCCCTTCAATGTCAAAATTCATCTCATATATATGACCTTAATTGCCTGTTCTTCCCATTGTTGGTTTATGCAGCCTTGGGTGTATCGAGCATTTGATCCCTGCGGCGAAAATTATGCTATGGTATATTATAATCTCCCTGAAGTGCAGAAAGCACTCCATGCAAATATAACTGGGTTGAATTATACTTGGGACTTGTGCAGGTTTGGATTTTATTTTATTTTTTTCATCAAATGGATGAACATATCATTTTCTTATAATTAAATGGAGTTTCTTATGAATATTGATTTGAAAAAGATTTTATTTTGATTATTGGTTGGATTATAGCTTGATGTTATTGATGTAGTGAAGTACTTCAAAATTGGACTGATTCCCCAAAATCCATGCTTCCTATATATAAAGAACTGTTAGCAGCAGGCCTGAAGATATGGGTTTTCAGGTAAAATTTTTATGATATTGAGATTAAATGATTGTTTGTTGTAATCTTTGTTCAAATAAAATGATACTTCACAACTTTTTTTTTTCAATTTATAATTGTTTATTCAAAAATTTATTACTATAAAAGTAAATACATTAATGCCATTAGAAAACTCTATGCATAATGATAGTAGGGAATTTTATTATTTTTTTAATAATTTCTCATAAATAAAAACTCATAGTGTTTTTGTTATTGTTTCCTCAATTTTGTGCTTGAATGTTGTAGCGGTGATACGGATGCCATAGTGCCGTTGACTGCAACTAGATACTCTATCGGTGCTTTGAATCTACCGACTCTGATTAAATGGTATCCTTGGTATGACCATAACACGGTGAGTTGAAAGAAAAAAAAATAACTTTTAAATGTATTATTAAATATTTTACTCTCTTTTTTAATCAATAAGATTTTTATTCTTTCATGTTTTTTTATTGTGTAGGTTGGTGGTTGGAGCCAAGTTTATAAGGGTCTAACATTGGTCACCATACGTGGAGCAGGTCACGAGGTTCCTCTTCATAAACCTCGACAAGCACGCGTTCTATTTCGACATTTTTTGAAAGATAAACCTATGCCATCTAAATAAAAATATATGTCTAATGTGTTGTGTGAGGTTATATCAAAAGCATTTCTCATCTATTTTTGTATCCTTTGCCAATAAGTTGGCTCTTTATTTCACATGTCCATTTTTTCAATTAATAACCAAGCAAAGGTTGGATAAAAATAATAACATTTTTTTATGTGCCTTGTATTTTTTTTCTTATATTTATGAGAAAGAATGTAAATTTAAATGCTTAAATGCTTGTTGAGCAAATAATGAAAAAGAGAACCATAAAAAATGCACATGATGTTCGTGTTTTACAATATTCTTAAACTGAAGCAATAAGAAGGTTAAATTTTATGCATTCATCAACCACGCATCGAATCGTTGCAGCCATTGTTTGTCTTAAACCACAGAAGCTTCTCGAGCCCCCTGGTTGCACCTGAGATCGATTCCACTTGTATATAAAAAATGAGTTTCTTTAAGCAACATAAAAACCCAAATACTAAATGGGGCTCATGCGTTTAATGGACCGCGCCCACAAGCCATGAACTTAACAGTCTGAAGTTGACCGGATCAACCGTACTGTTAGTTATATCTTGAATGTGACAAGCTACAAACCTCTTTCTCGCTCAGAATGACCTCACGAGTACATCTGAAGCACATCAACATTTCGATGATTTCCTTCGAACGGGCTTGCTGATTCTTTGTGCAACTCCTCCAATCGAGCTCACTCACATCTCCTGAATTCTTCTGTGCTTGCTTGGACTGGTTAAACCTTTCTACCAAGATATTTGCTAGATCACCAAGCTCGATGAACAGTTTTTCAAGGTAGAAGGAATTTGAACTCCAATCTGTCAACACAAGTATCATCATTTATCAACATGATGACAATTCATACCAATTGTCTCGTCAACAGCAAGTCTGCTCATGCACCATACTATACAACCTAAATCTTTGCTTTATATTTTATTTCTTAGACCCCTGCGCGGGCGCACAGGCTCTATGACATAAATAAGAGAGAAAAATCGAAGATGAAGAATCAGATCGTGGATCCTAAACCCTAAGAAATTCTCTTAAAACCTCTCTCTAGAAGAATCACTTACCTTATTCCCACTTTTTTCACAAAGTCTCTCCTAAATTGCATAAGTTCATGATTTAAATAGATCCTACGTCTCAAAAGGATTCAACAACAGCAACAAGCCGCCTCATTTCCGACCATGACATTAACAAGTTTTATTTTATTAAAACTCCCTAGCTAGTCTAGCACACAACTAGCTTATCCCATGGTCTCCTTCAGTTGGCTTTCCCTCATGTGCTAGCTTCTTAACTGCTGAGATAGCCTCCACTATCTTGTTATGAGTTCATCATTTATACAACACGTTCTCCCTTCTGTGAAACAAAAGAAGCGCCTTGTATAACGGTCAAATTTTAAATTTTTGTATGATTTCATCAAATTCAGCTCATTATTTGTATAATTGTAATTTTTTTAATTTATTTTAAGTTTGAATTCTAATAAAATTAAAAAAAATACATAAAACTCGTTCGTTAATTTTTTTTAAGTTCGAATTATAAACGAGCTGAAAAAGAACAGTTTTTTTTTTCGCTCGTGTTCGGCTCATTTTAACTCAAAATAAAAAAAAACGTATAATTATTTTTATGATAATAATTATATATATTATTTATATAATAATATTATTATACATATTTGTGTGTGTGTGTGTCTATATATATTTG